ACCCCGCACAGTTTCCACAACGTATTGCTATTTACCTATGAATGTTTCCCAAATCCGGGTAGAGGATTCAAACCCAAGCAATAGAACCAAATGTAAATCAAATCAGGGCAAACAAGATAAGCATGTAAAGGTGATCTAAACCCTAAGGTAACCCCACTTTTAAGTTATTCCCCAGCAGAGTCGACAGTTCTGTGATACGGTGGGAGAACTGACTTGAGGTTTTGCGTTTGTGTTCGCAAATGTTTCGGTTTAGCAAGAGTCGCCACCGATTTTTTATTTTATCCAAAGGAAAGGTCAAAAAGCACAGGAAAGACCTTTGAGATGTTTTCTTGGGTTCAGGGGGTAGATTATGAAAAGAGAAGGTGCTGGCACCCTTTTCATCCATGGTTTTCCATGGGCTCTTAGTTACTTGTTTAGATCAATTGCCTTTGCTTTTCAATTGTTTGAAATTGTGCTTTTAAGTGTGGTTTTGAAAATATCTTGAAAAGAGGCCTTTGTCTAGGCAACCTTTGTAATGATTCTTGTTTGAATGTATACAAAGGTGTTTATCTTTTGAAAAAATGTTTCAAGGTTTGAAAGTTTGTTTTGGGAAATTGTTTTGAAATTGTGTGTGTGTTTTTTGAAAATAACAAGGATGTTTGCAAATTGATCAAGTAACTAGGAGTTGTCTACCCTAACTCAAAGATCTTGGAGAGTTCTTGGAAATTTTGGAAAGCTTGTAACATGCTATACAATCCATCTTTGAAATGCATTTTGAGATTCCAATTGGAACTAGGTGAAAAGTTGCCATGAAGATAGGTCAATATCCTGCCTAAATTAGGGCAAAATTTCACTAAGTTGGAAAGTTTTTGGACCCTTACTCACAAAATCATAACTTGAGATCCAAGAATCTTTTGGGAAAACTTTGTGAATCAAAGTTGTAGATTTTGTGGAGGACTACAACTTTCATGTTGGAAGTTTTCTTTGAATCCAATTGCATCATGGTGAAAAAGTTGGGCAAAGTTGGGAAAAAATAAGAAATTTTCATAACTTAGAAAATTTCTAAGTTATGAAAATTTTCCATTTTAAACCCTAATTTTCAAAATTAGGTTTCTTGATGAACAAGTTTCATGTTTTGACACATCTTGATGAAAAATGACCCTTTGCACTTGATTTTGACCAAAAAGTCAAAGTTTGACTTTTCAGTGTACAATTGATTTTTGATTAGTTGACTGGAAAATTCATATGTGAATCCAATGCTTTTGAGATCTTTTGAACCTTATGATTAGATCAAGATGATGCCATTGAGTCCTTGAATCCATGCTTGAGCCCAATTTGCCATTGGCTAGGTTAAAAATCAGAAATTACCCTTATGCGGTCAAAACCCTAAAAATGACCATTTTGCCCTTTTGATTATCTGATCAAATTTCTTGAGGAGTTGTGGTCCAAACTTGATCAAATGGTTAATATGAGTCTACAATGTTGATTTGGATAAAAAATTATGAGGTTTGATTGTAAATTGGCCACAGTTGACTTTTTCTCCAATACAGCTGACTTTAGGGCAACTGTCCAATTGACTGGGCAAAAAATTGATTCAAGGCTTGAAACTTGGTATGAGCAATCTTATAGGTCCAAAAGTATGAAAGTCACATTTATAATTGGAAGTCCAAAAATCCTTGTGCAAACTCAAACCCTAATTTCAGGTCAACAGTGCAAGGAGAGATCTTGAGCAGAGCAAACCCTAATCTGGTCTTGAGTCTTGTGAGGAAAATATTGGTAAAATGAGAGGGAAAATTTTGGGGTACAACAGTCAACATAAAGCCCTCAACGAAAAATATGGTAAAATTCGCAAAATGACAATACCCTAGTAGCTGAAGGTATTGGCGATGTTATGATTATGATGAAAGATGGCAAGAGCTCAGTAATTTCCAATGTGTTGTACATACCAGACATGAAGAGCAATTTGCTCAGTATAGGGCAGTTGGTCGAAAATAATTATAAAGTCTTGATCGAAGATAAGATGATGAGAGTCTTCGACGCAAATGGAAGATTAATCTTGAAGGCTCATACGTCTCAGAATAGAACCTTCAAGATCAAACTAAATGTGGTGGAGCACAAGTGCCTTTCGACTGCAACTAGCAGAGATGAATGGACATGGCATTATCGACTAGGCCATCTCAACTTCAGAGACATCAGAGATTTGAAGAGAATAAATATGGTTTCAGGTTGCCAGAAATCGATATTCCAAATGAGGTATGTGAGGAATGTGTGCAGGCGAAGCAACACAAGAATAGCTTCAGCAAGGATGCAGGAAGCAGGTCGAAGGTTATTCTTGAAGTTATATACTTTGATGTATGTGGACCAATCCAGGTGGATTCGATGGGAGGTAACAAATACTTTGTTACATTCATCGATGATTTCAGTCGAAAGCTGTGGACTTACCTGATCAAGAAGAAAAGTGAAGTGATCGAGGTATTTGCCAAGTTTAAGTCTATGGTCAAAAGACAAAGTGGTCGAAAACTCAAAGTTTTGAGAACTGATGATGGTGAAGAGTATGTGTCGAAATACTTCGATAGGTTATGTGAAAAGGAAGGGATTGTGCATGAGGTGGTGCCACCCTATACTCCACAGCATAATGGAACTGCAGAAAGGAAGAATCGAACCATTATGAATATGGTGAGAAATATGGTGAAAGGCAAGAGTTTATCTAAAGAGTTTTGGGGTGAAGCTGTGTCGACTTCAACATAGATTTTAAACAGATGTCCTACGAAGAAGCTAGAAGGAATTACTCCAGAAGAATGTTGGTCTGGTGTGAAGCCTAGCTTGAGTCATCTGAAGGTATTTGGATCTATTGCACATAGACATGTGCCAGATCAGTTGAGAAGAAAACTTGATGACAAGTCGAGTCAAATGATTCTAGTTAGATATCATTCGACAGGAGGTTACTAGTTGTTCGTCCCAGTGAACAAGCCGATTATGATCATCAGGGACGTGATCATAAATGAGCTAAAAGAATGGGACTGGACTGAAAATGTCAAGAAAGATTCAGTGGGACTTCTACTTGAAGAACCAGAAACTCAAGTCGAAAGAGAAGTTCGACAAGAGGAACCAACAATTATAGATTAACCAAGTACAACCAGGCCTCAAAGAACAAGACGCATGCCTGCAAGATTGCAAGATTGTGTGATTACATCAGATGATGTGATAGATAATGAAGGTGAGTTGGTACATTATACTTTCTATGCAGATGTCGAACCTGTCAATGCAGCTGAAGCATTGAAGGATTCGAAGTGGGTGAAAGCAATGAACGAAGAAGTGAAGTCTATTGAAGACAATAACACATGGTCACTTGTCGAATTTTCTCAAGGCAAGAAGGCAATTGATGTCAAGTGGGTATACAAAGTGAAAATGAATTCCAAAGGAGAAGTAACTCGACACAAAGCAAGGCTTGTGGCGAAAGGATTTCTACAGAAAGAAGGAATAGACTTCGATAAAGTTTTTGCACCTGTTGCTGGGATCGAAACAATCAGGTTGGTTATTGGTCTAGCATAAATAAACAGATGGCACATATGTCAGATGAACGTGAAGTGTGCATTTCTGAATGGACCCTTAGACGAAGAAGTTTATGTTAAACAACTAGTTGGGTTTGTGAAACATGACGATGAGAGAAAGATGTATAGGCTGCATAAAAGCCCTGTATGGATTGAAACAAGCTCCAAGAGCTTGGAATAAGAAAATTGATAGTTTCCTAAGGGAGAAGGAATTTGTGAAGTGCACAACTGAACATGGAGTATATGTAAGAAGAAGCAATAGTGAATTTCTTATACTATGTCTCTATGTCGAATATTTGTTGATAACAAGTAGCTGCAAAAGTGAGATCGAAGACTTCAAAGGTGATCTCAGCAAGGAATTCGAAATGTCTGATCTGGGTGAGGTTTTATATTTCCTTGGCAATGAATTCTACAAGAACAGTAGAGGTTTGATGATGCATCAAAGAAGATATGCAGGAGAAATTCTCAAGAAATTTGAGATGGAAAAGTGCAACTCAACTTCGACACTTGCAGAACCAAGACTGCAACTGTAGAAAGATGCAGATGAAGATGAAGATGATATCGACCCAACCCAATACAAAAGATTTATTCGGTCATTGAGATACCTTTATCATACAAGACCCGACTTAGCATATAGTGTAGGTATGGTAAGTAGATTCATGCAGAAGCCAAATGTATCACATCTAGCAGCGGTGAAGAGGATACTAAGGTATCTCAAAGGAACTCTCGACCATGGCATTTTGTTTCCTGCAGCTGATAAAGGAAAAGAATGCAAGTTAGTGGGATATAATGATTCGAGTTGGTGTAGTGATGCTGAAGATCGAAAATCAACAGTAGGATATGTGTTTATGTTAGGTTGTGCATCAGTTGCTTGAACTGAGAATCAGATTGCAGACATTATGACGAAGGTAGTGCAGGTCGAATTATTCAGAAGACTAAGAACCATGATGAATATAGATAGTTTAGACACAATGAATTAAGTGGTTTGTTAAATTGCAATTCGATTGTGTCGAAACTGTGTGTGTGTGTCGAAGGGAGGTTGTCCAGTCGAAGAGCTTGTGGATCGAAGCAAGCTACAGACATATTTGATTAGTTTTAGATTTAGATAAGTTTGATTTAAATCTAAAATAGATAGATTTGATTTAGTACCAAAATAGAAATTTTGGACTTTGGCTTAAGGAGCAAGCTAACCTAAATCTATAAATAGAGGGAGTAACCCCTAATTTTGTAATAAAATCAAGTCAATTCATTATAATCACAGAATTTGCAGTTGTAAGTGATTAATAAAGTTTTCTACAATTTGTGGTAAGAGAGAAACTCTACAGAAATTAATTGTCTTCTTTCTTTTCTTTTCTCATAATTCATTGTCATTCTGTAGTGATATTAATCTTATTCATCAAAATTGATAGAAATTTATTATAGATATTTGATGAATTTCCAATAATTACATCTTTTATTTTTAATTTGTAGGTACGGTAGCATGTCAATATCCTCCCACAAGGTGATACCTACCATATCCATATCATATGATATCTTCTTAGTTTCATTCCTAAAAACTTTATTAATTAATCTGATGTTTATTAAAATTAAATTTGCAGTACAAGTTCATCAATTTTGAACACGACAAACTCAAGTGGTGCCAATGTCTTTGGTTCTGTCCCAGTGCCCACCAACCCCTCTCCCTCTGCAGCCCCTCACACATTTAATAGCTTTGCAGATTTTTGTATCATTATATGGATAATTTCATTTCTGGAAAACATATTTTCCAAATTCATCAATTTTGAAAAATACATGGATGAAACAAGAGCTTCATCTTGAAAAATATATAAGTAAATTTGATTTTTTTATTCATTTAACAACCGATATGTTTAATATTTTGATTTTTATAGATTTCCTCCAAATTAGAAAATCCTATTTAAAACCACTCATGTAACTACATATTTTTCTTTTAGTTGTTACATTTTCTTTTTAAATTGTTGTTGTTATTAATAATTAACTAAATAAATTAACACAATTAGAAATATAGTAATCAGTTATATTTAAAAATTTATTTAGGTAAAGCAAGAAAATAAATTTATAAATAAAAATGTTTATTAATAAGTTAAAGAAAACCAATGGCCTCTTTACTTTTTCGTTTGGTGGTTTTGTACTAAATGACAGTCTTTTCAAACCTGAGTGGGCCTTCGATGAGACACAATTAGGCCATATTGTTTCATTTAAACTTTGTAAAAAGGGGAACGTAACGAGGAATTAATAAGCCACTCTCTTTCTTATATATATATATATATATATGGTATCTTTTAAGTAGTATGATAACGAAATTATCTAAACTCAAATATTTTTTAGAAATTCAAAATTTCTGTGACTAACTTTTTAAATGGTGATGTTGGAAATTTTAAGACGATATCGGAATTTAGTGAGACAGTAAATTTTTTTTGGTATATTTATGAAATATAGAGTATTTTGTATCAAATTTTTTAAAAATTTTGATATTTTTGTACCAGAATTTTTAAAATTTTCGGTATAAACATTTTTCTTTTATATAGAAATTTCAAAATTTTCGAGACTTTACAAGATACCTGAAATTTTGAAATTTCTGATAGTTCAATTTTGAAATTTGAAAGTTAAAATTCTCACGTAAATTTGAAATTTTCGGTTTAGTGGAAATTTCAAATACACTATCGAAAATTTGGTAGGGGTGTACCGAAAATTTCATATGTACCAGAATTTTTAACCCTTCTACCGAAAATTTCTTTGTATCTCATTAGGGGTAAAATTGGAATAAAAAATTGGGGGTGGCATGTATAATTTTGGAGGTGACAAGTTAATTTTTTGAAGGTAATTTCTTTTTCTATTCTATAGTGTGAGTCGCACTTCTGAAAACTCCAAAATATCTTTTGATTTATTTGAAGAAATATCTTCGGACGCATTAAATTCTATATTTTTATAAAAATTTAGTTTCGAGATACTTCTCTGACTTTTTTAAAGCTCGGAGATGTATCTCTGAAAAAATCATTATTCCAATTACCATCAATTTCTAAAAAAAATAGTTTCAATTCCATCTATTAAATTATATGTCCAATATATATATATATATATATATATATATATATATATATATATATATATATATATATATATATATATATATATATATATATATATATATATATATATAACGGTTCTCAACAAATAAATATTTATATATATGTTCAAAAATAATAATTATTTTCTATACAAAAGGCCCAATAATAATTATACATATATAAATATATTTTTAAACAGTGAATTAGTTAATAAATATAAAATATAAAATTATATGTGAATTAATCAAGAAAATATATAAAATTATATTATATATTAGTCAAAAATTATTTTTTATAATTATTTCTGTAATAATTAAATATGCATAATTATTATAGAAAATTATTTTTGACTAATATATAATTCACATATAATTTTATATATTTTCTTGACTAATTCAATATAATTTTATATTTTATATTTCTTGACTAATTCACGATATAAAAGTATATTTATATATGCATAATTATTATTAGACATTTGTATAGAGAATAATAGTTGTGTTTGGGCATATATAAATATTTTATTTGTTGAAAAATCATTTTTTATATAATTTATTAGGCTCATAATTTAATTGATGAAATTGAAATCGTTTTTTTTTTTGTTGAGAAATTGATTGTAATTGGAGTAAAATAGTATTTTCAGAGATACATATCCGAATTAGTCTAAAAAAAATCGGAGATGTATATCAGAATTAAATGTTTTTCAAAAAATAAAATTTAGTATATCGAGAGATGTATCTTTGAAAATATGGGACATTTTTGGAATTTCACTAAGGGCCTGTGAGAAGGCTCTTAGAGGGGAATGCTCATTCCATCTTTAGTGTGTCCACCACACCTTTGAAAACCCCAAAAATATTCCTAACATCCGAAAATTATACATTGGACATTCAATGAAGGATCCTTGCTTTCATATCAGACAATTATATGTTAGACTTTCACCGAAGAATCCCGTCGCCCTACGAGGCAATTATATGTTGAACCTTCAGTAAAGGATCCTTGCCACCCTATAAGGAAATTATCACTACCACGAAAAATAACTTTCGTCAAACAATATTACAACGACCTTTTGTTAACCGTGGTGGAATCTCGTTTTTGGTTTTTTTTTTATAAAAGATATTTCACTACAGTCATTATTAAAATCCGTAGTAAAATGTACTAGGATTTACATGGTTTGAATCACAACTCCTTCAATTTCTCATTTTATCATCATAATAAGGGAATGTCCTTGTATATCACCATAATTGTTTTGGTCAACAGTGGTGTAAAGTCCAATCATTTTATCACGATTCTTCTTGTCAGCCGTGATGAAAAGAGATATTTTTTAATATATAAGTGAAACTATCTCTCGCTCAGTACATAATAGTTGTTTCTCTCAAAAGAAAACACTAACATATTTCACTATTCTCTCTCAAAACATAACCCTAACATCCATATTACTCATCACCCGTACCACAACCTTCAGATTCGTCTTCGCCAATAGTTACCTTCAGGTTCATTCATTAAACTTATGTTCCGATTCCATTTACGTTTCTGTTTTTATTTTATTGTTTAGTTTCTTTCTACCTTATTGTTTATATTTCAAATTCTAACATATAATGTTTAAATTTTAGCTATTGTTTTTGTTTCAAACCCTAAGATTTAATGTTTTGTGTATGTTTGTGCTTGTTGTTTACTTGTAGGTATGGTTGGATGGAAGAAAAAAATTAAAGAGGATGAAGGTAAAGTGAACGCAGAAAACTTGTGTGAGCGTTGCAAACACATGTTTTCTACTCTCACTTCAGATTCATTCTCCTTTCATTTGGATACCATTATGAGAGAAGTATGTTCTATATTATTTAAGGGTTTGTTGTTGATGAATGTTGTTAATATTTGTTTTAGATGAGTGTATTATATCTTATGTGGTTTGCTTGTTTTTTCAACACCTTACTGATTATATAATTTTTCGGATTGCATTAGAAAATCATAATATGATAGATAAAGTTATATTTGAAAATAAGTTGCACATTCAATTCTAGACAAGAATCCTTTAGTCTGTTATTTGCAGTTTGTTCTTTAACAGTGAGAACTTGGTTTAATGCTTTTTTATTTTTCAACCTCCACTTCCTTCACCTCTAATTTAGTTTGCAATGAAAATAATATGTTTGAAAAAGAAATAGAGGTGAAGGAATATGGATTAAATAACTATGAGCATCAAAACCAATTTCTCAATATTAGAGAACAAAATACGGATAAGGAACTGAAGAATTATCATCTAACATTAAACGTTTTATTTGTTCTACTAATATAACTTTATTTGTCATATTATAATATTCCAGATCAGAATGAAAAGTTATATGTTTAGTGAGCATTGTCGAAATTAGAATTCCATATAATTTATAATAAATTCAGTGTATATACCACAATGATTGGTTAGAAAAACCGTTGTTAATATTTTTTTTATAAAAGTTATATCACAACGGTTATTTGGAGTAACCGTTTTGGTAGGTCGCATGCCCGTGGTGGAAAATATCATACATATAACCACCCCTTATCTCGTAACGGTTGGTAATCCGCTATGGTATCCCTTTTTCAACCGTTATGGTAGACCTTTTCCATAGTAGTGTATACGTTGGACCTCCACTGAAGGATCATTGCCTCCCTATGTAACACCCCAATTTTGAAATTATGTTGCTTATGTATTTATTTATGAATATTACGTGAATTATTGTGTTTGTTGGATTATTGGTTGGAGTGTAAGTTCTTGAGATAGAAAGTAATTTAGATTAATTAAATAATAGTTGTTGCTAATAATGAAAATAATAAGGAAAATAAAATAAAATAAAGTGTGTAGAGATTTTAAGGGCATTGAGGTAATTGCATGAGGTTAAGTTGAGGGTAAATGAAAGAAAATATAATAGAAGGAATATTCATAATAGAAAAAGAGGAAAATAAGATAAGAAGATTCATTATGCATTATACGTGAAATTTGGAAGAAAAGAGACTGCGGCAAGAAGAAAGCTAAGAGAGAGCTTCCATCCATAGAGTGTGAGAAGAAGCAATTCTTAGAGAAATTCCAAGGTAAGGATGGATAATGGTTATCAATTATCAATAATTTGATTGATTATTGATTTATGACGATCATTGATGCATATTGTGAAATCCTCGATCTTGATTATTGTATGATTATATTATGATGTGAAATATTCGATGATGTACTGCTGTAAATTGGGTTGTTCAATTATGTGCTTCATGAACCATGATTATATTTGACATGAATGGATGAATTGGTGATCAAAGATGATGAAATTGATTTTGTAGTCGTAAGTTCCATGATTTTATTGACAACAATTTTACTAAAACATGGTTCTTTGCAAGATGTTGGGACAAATGTTCTAACATGTTAAACATCACTGAAGACTGATATTGTGACAGATGTTGCAACATGTTATACCAGAACATCAGTTTAGTTCTGGTTTTTAAATTTTTGTAGATTGGTTTAATTAATTTGAAGATTTTGTATGTTTTTGTTACTCATGCAGTCGCAGCCAAGTAAGAATGTTTTGAGAACTTTATTGTTTTGTTTAGGTTTCATAAAAAGGATCTTTGAGCCTTTTTAGGAAACTTTGTATTTAGTTCCTATTGTTGTGGAAAATATATTGCAATTGATTTACAGCTGGAGGAATGGATTTGCGTGAAGAGTCCAAGCCCATGATTGAAAGAGTCTATTTAAGAAGACATTCAAGACCTAAAACA